TTTTATCCATGTCTCTTGGATGACACAAGTTAATTCATGTCAGTTGCTGCAAAACTTTAAATTTTAATGTGGTTCCACTTAGCTGTTCCTGCTTTTGCAGCCTGGATTAAATTCTTTTTTTCTGTGTATGGGTGGTGTTTTGCCTGCATGCAAGACCATGGTCATGCAACTCCACAGAGGACATCTGATCCCCTGGGACTAGAGGTATAGACAGTTGTGAGCCACCATGTGGGTGCTAGGAACCAAACTCAGGTCTTCTGGAAGAACAACCAGTTCTCTTAACCACACTGAGCCATCTCTCTGCCTCTTGCTGTCTGCATTTTTTTGGTCTACTATCTGAGGAGTAACCACCAAGTCCAAAGTCAGGAAACCTTTCCTTTCGTTTTCTCCTAGGAGTTAGATAGTTTCCAGTCTTACATTTCTTAAGCCTCAGGCAGCATTGCAGACCCCGGCACCAAAGAGTTGCTCAGCATTGCAGACCCAGGCGTGAAAGAGTTGCTAAGTGTTTAAGAGTTGCTCAAAGTTGGGTGGGAGAGACTGGGGTTTATGGGAGGCTTCAGAGGAAGAATGACTAGGGCCTTGTTCAGGGGATTCCTAGTGCTTATGAATGGGTGGATTCCACACATTGGAAAGTCCCTGGCAAGAGAGCTGGCTTTCACTGAGGGGCAGTTAGCAGGGTGGAGAACTTGTGGACTAAGAGTTCCCTACCAGTGGAAGCAAGTCAGGAGGGGCTGGTGAGCCACAGAGGAAACTCCCACGTGACATGAGGACAAAGCCAGTGTGTCCCTGAGGCTCTCTGCCTTTTTGATGTGATCGGTCCAGGCAAGGATACAGGCAGCAAGTGCGTGCCCAACGGACAGCGGGGAGTTGCAGACAAACCTTGACCCCAGCTGCTGCAGTTCACACTGGGGCCATGCCCAGTGCTGACGTAAACAGGCTGAACCACACATCCTTGCCTCAACTGTGCCACAGGTTCTATTCCCACCTGAGAACTAGGCCTGGAGTAAGCTGCTGCCTGAAGCAGCCAGCAGCTGCTATATGAGATTTGAACTCACACCCTGTGGCTGGAACTCTCCTGTCCACCTCCCCCAAGCTGGCTGCTCCTGCTGGTGGCCTGCTTCTCAGGTCCCAATGCTCTGTTAGTTCCTGAGCCACTCCTGACCAGAGAGTCAGCACTACGAGCTTCCGGCCTTGCTGGTTTCTCTGAGAGCTAGGCTCAGGCCGCTCAGTGTCACAGGATTTGAGGGCAATGATAGGTTTGACCAGGAGCCACCGTATTCCACCAGATGGGAACCTCCTGGGCTGCGGATGTAGCTCATTTAGTGGCTTGCTTATTTATCGTGGTGCATGAAACCCTGGGTTTGATCTCCAGCACTGCAGAAACTGTGCATAATGGTGCTTCCCTGTAATCCCAGCACTCTGGAGGTGGAGGCAGGACCATCAGAAGTTCAAGGTCTTGGCTATGTGGTAAGTTTGAGGCTAGGCTGGGAGACCAAGAAACTCGGTCTCAAAACAAAAAATGAGTGGGAACCTTTCTGAATCACTTTCTTCCAGGGCTCAAAGTCAAGCCATAGCGTTGAGTTCAGTTGGTTTTTTGTTTGTTTGTTTGTTTGTTTGTTTGTTTTTTAATTTAACTATGTACTTGCAACCCAGCCCTCTGGGTGCCAAGACCAGAATTCACCGAGCGCTGTCTTATCATCTGCTGGGCAACAAATGTCATCTTAAATTGTGGTGATTCAGTGGCTTCCTCTGACTCGGCTCTCAGGCAGGGTGACTGTGATGTTCGCAGCTGCAGTGGAGGAGGTCCAGGCAGGGAAAGTGGTTTATCCAGATTGCCACTGTCATCCGGTGACACTCACCCACTGTGCAGTCTCAGGGAGCTTCTACTCTGCCAGGCAGGGAGCAAGGCCTCTGACAGACGCTAGTTCAGGACTCGGGGAGTCCATCAGGCAAAGCGGGGCTGATGGTACAGCAGATGAGGACACTGACCTGAAGATCTGTGTGGGCGGCTGGGTCTCAGGGCAGTAATGGAATGCCCCTCACTGGCTCTGGGATTCCATGCACCAAGGCCTTTCCTTCCATTCTTCCGCTGGCCTCCTCACTATCCTGAGTGGGGTTTTGGGAGGGATACTTTATGATGGATGGAAAAGCTGCTTAGGGGTTCCCCCAAGCTTCCACAGTGGGTAGAAGAAGGTGGCACCCCTCTCTCCTCAGGCTCATTTCTTCTCTCTGCCCTGGACATGCCCTATAGTTCTCCCATGGCCTTCCTGGAGGGGCTGTCCCAGAGGCCTGATGAGGCATAGGCTGTAGACCAGCTGGACCAGCTGAGGCTGGGCTAGAGCCAGGTGCTTTCCGTATCTCCCTACTGCCCTACAGGCAGCAAAGTGGCTTTGTGGCTGTTTCTCGGGAGAGGCTGTGGCTTGGTCTTGCTCACTGCCACTCCCCCTCTTGAAGGGTGAGAAAAAGCCACTCCACCCACCCCACCCCCGTGCCCCAGAGACAGGGTTTCTCTCCGTAGCCTCAGCTGTCCTGGACTTGATTTGTAGACCAGGCTGGCCTCAAACTCACAGAGATCTGCCTCTGCCTCCCTGAGTGCACTGCACCCAGCTGGGTTTTGAACTCTTGACCCAGCCCTGTGAGGCATGGCTATAAGGAGGAAGACAAGGTGGAAGGGAAAGGGAGAGAGGAGGAGGCTGAACCAGGTGTTAGAGGTACATGAGGACTCAAAGCCTGCCAGTCTGCCTGCAAAACCATAAAATCTCCTGAAAAACTAATGTTAAAAAAAAAATCTTAAAGCTTTCTGTAAAAACTAATCAAGAATGGAGATAATCTCAGTGGTAGAACTCTTGCCTAGTGTGCCCAAGGCCCTGGTACACTCCCCAGAACCACAAAAGTGAAATAGGATAAATCATGGACATGGTGGCACATACCTGTAGTCCCAACACTTAGGAGTACAGAGGCAGGAGGATCAGGACCTTAAGGTTAGCCTTGGCTACATAGTAAGTTGGAGGTGAGCCTGAGCTGTGTGAGATCCTGACTCAGCTTTCGATTTTTAGAATTGAGCATATTTGAAGCGGATTTGTTCCCCCCTAGGACCAGAGGCTCTGGGCTATACAGCCAGGCGAGCCTAACCCTGATGTACTCAAGCTCAAACACAGGGAATCTGCTGCATTGACTCTGAACCTGCAGGATTCCCAGGTCTCCTCGCCTCCCCCCCCCCCCCCCCCCCCCCGCTGTGGAGCTGGAGTCTGTGGATGGCTCCCCACTTGTTTGTTGTAAGACCCCGGTTCCAGGCATCTGACACTTTCTTCTGGCCTCCACTGGCACCGGGCACACAAGTGGTGCACAGGCACATACAAGCAAAACATCCATACAAAACAAACAAAAACCTTAAAAGCAAAAGATGCAATAAAATGGGTTTCAAAGAATGTTATTGCTTTACAGCTGGATGCAGCGGGCCGTTCCTATAACCCCAGCATTCAGGAGACAGAGGCAGGAGAATATTGAGATGGTAGCCAGGCTAAAACTACATGGTGAGTTCCAGGCCGGCCTGGGCTACATAGTAAGACCCTGTTTTAAACAAACAGCAAAAAATAACATTACTTCTTTGCAACGTTACCACAGGAAAGTCCGGGTGTCGCTTCACTTGTGTCAGCCTCCTCCCGTTAATTCGGAACATGAATGACAACACACAAAAGCAAGAAAAAACAAGAGGGTGAGCCAATGAAAGCAACTCTCCCAGATTGCTTGTCAAAACTTAAATTGAGTATTGCATTAGTTTTCAGACATTTAAATGCACCCAGTGTACTTCTGGATCCCTGGCCCGGGACTGCTGCTTCCTGCGAGGAAACAGGTCCGCAGAAAGCTGTCTGTGCAGACGGCCACTGCAGCATAGCTTGTACACGATTTAGCTAGCAAAGGGGGGCTGGTGAGCCGGCCACTGGCCAAAGGTGATTGCTGCCAAGCCTGAACATCTGATCGCTCCAGCCCACCTAGAGGAGGGGGAGAACCTACTCCCACAAGTTGTCCTCCGACCTCCGCCTACAGCCACAGCAAGCACTTGTGTGCACAAGCTTGTGCATGCAAACACACTTACGTAAACAAATGAATACATGTAATAAATAAACAAATAAATACCTAAAAAAAAAGGGGGAAAGGTTACAAAAGGCTAATGGTTGGCAACAGGAGACAGGCTCCATGCAGTGGTGTCCTTAGCAGCTGGTGGGAAAGGGAGGCTGGGTCACAGATGTTCAGATAGACTGAGCGATGTATGAATCAGCATTCTGTCAACTTCCAGAGCAGACATTTTCCCTTTCTTCCAGTTTTGGATATGAAAAGCCTGGAAGCAGCATATCAGCAGAATATCACACTTCTGAGGGTTCCAAAGGAGGATCCTTCCTGGCCAATACTTGGCAATCTCAGCTTGCTACACTTACCACCTCTTTATCTCTGCTGTTATCAAACAGCCCTGTGCATCTCTTCTCTAGTGAGGACCCCAGTCACCTGATTCTGATCCGACCCTAATCTGGCCACTTCTTCACTAATGGCATCCATAAAGATAATTTTCATCTTTGTTGTTTTTTCAGATAGCGTGTCTCTCTGTAGTCTCGGCTGATCTGGAACTCACTAACGCAGCCCAGGCTGGCCTCATGCTGGCCTCAGGCTTGTAGCCATTCCCCCACCCCCACCCCCACTCCAATTCAGCCTCACTGGGATTACAAGCCATAGAGGTCAGCTCTGCAAAGACTGGTTCCAAGTCAGGTCACATGGCGAGGAGGTTCAAGGTGGATATGTCAGGTGTGCGGCGTGCCACCCCGGCAGGCAGGGAGGTGCCTGGGTGCTCTGGCTTGGTAATGGGAGGCTCAGGGAACATACACAGAGAAGTCTCTGGAAGAAGCACAGAAATGACAGGACTGTGACAGGGACTGAGGAAGGTGATTTCACGCCACATTCCCTCCTGCCCTCTTCAGGGGTGAGGCTTGTAGCCCGAAGGTCTTCAGCTGTGTGAAGGCAGGAGGCGGGGAAGCGGGATGTAGCTTGGAGCGTCCATCTGCTTGCCACCTCAACCTCTGCTGTGGGGCGATGGGACCTGTAGATCACTGAGCCCGGGAACAAGTGCTTCTGAAGGTTCTGGAGCAACTCTCCACCCTAGGCTGGGTTCCACGTTAAAGAGATCAGCTCCTACCAACCCCCAGGAAGAACTGGGCTCTTCCTATTCCCCCCACCATCTTCTCATAAATTGTCATGAGTGATCTGTGAAGGGAAGGAGGTGAGTTCCCATTTCTTGGCTTTGTGTTATTAGTTGTTGTTGTTTTGAGACAGTGTCTCAAGCGGCCCAAGCTGCTCTCATACTGTCTATGTATTTGAGATGATCTCTTGCCTCTACCTCACAAGTGTTGGGATTACAGGCTTGTGCCACTATGGCTGGCGTGTGCCATGTACACGCTAGTGTAAGCACTCTATCAAGTGGTTTCTGTCTATTTGTGAGCCCCCCCCACTCCACCTCCTCCCTCTCTGTGCCTGTTCGGGCTGGTAGAGCCACCTTTCTCTCTCTCTCTCTCTCTCTCTCTCTCTCTCTCTCTTTCTCTCTCTCTCAGCTTCTTGCCCACTCTGACTTGGCATCCCCGGTAGTACCAGTTGCTGGCCTCAGAGTTTCCCATCTTTGTGTGCCAAACCCCTGGGCACCCAAGAGAGGCTCTGCTCAAAGATGCACCTAGAGTAATAGGCTTTCTCTCTGCTGCTCAGAGTGAAACGGGGACTTCATGACCTTTTTGAGAAGAGTCTGCTACCAGAGGAATGTAGGAATGTAGGGTAGGCTGGGAGGCTGCATGTAACTAGGGCAGGCTGGCGAGTGGAGAATGAGGAAGCTGGGACTGCCTCCCACCCAGGGCCCCAGACCTTCCCATTAGCTTGGCCTGGGGACCAGGAACCACAATCACATTTCCTTCCAGCTGAGGCAGAAGAGAAATGCAGAGGCAGGAGAAGAGAAAAACCACCCTTTCCTTTCCCAGCAGGCTCCTTAGCGTTCACTGCTTGACAGGTGATGCTCTGAGTTAGGAGCCTGGAGTCTGGGGAGGCTTTTGTTCAAGCAGGATCTAGAGATATAAACCTGAGGGGGTAATCAGTTCCATGGCTTCACGAGCGAGCGTAGCAGAGCCAACCCAGTCCAGGGCCCCAGGGATGGGGAAAGGCATGGCACCCTCAGCAGCATCCACGGAAAAGTGAGACACGAACCCAAAGTCAACAAGTGTAAGGCCAAACCTGTGGCCAGACCCTTGCATGCTGGGGGTGGGGAAGACACCCCAACAACAGAAAACAAAGCTGCTCTGTTCACTAGGAATTCCATTTCTCCATTGTTCCCCTCCAGGAACATTCCTGAAGGGGTGAAATAGTGACCCGCTCAGTCCAAGTCCCTGGCATGTGATCCAAAGTGCCGGGAGGACTCAAAAAGGAAACAAGGAAAAGGAGATGGTAGCAGAGAGAGAAGGAGAAAGGGAAGGAGAATGGAGAAGGAGGTGGGGAGAGGGGGTGGATGCCAGGCAAGGAGCAGCAGTTAAGAGGCTCCTAGCCTCACCAAGATGAGGTGCAGGGTGAGTATAGGACCCTTTGGGCAGAGCAGGGGCTAGCAGGGGCTGGGGCAGACAGAAGTTGGCAGCCTTGAATGGCCCAAGGCTGATGGGAGAGCATTCTCCTGCAAGTGTGTATCCATGTGTGTATGTATGTTTGTATGTGCACATGGGTGCCTGTGTGAGCGTGTGCCTAAGTGTGTTTTCATGTGTGTCCATAAGTAAATGTGATGTCTTTGCTGGCGGGGGAGGGGAGGGCATCCGTGTACCCACTGCAGCAGGTGCCAAGGGCACTGGGCTGCAGCAAGATGGAGGCCTTGCCCCCAGAGATCCTGGCTGCATGGAAGGCTGCCTGGCCCTGTGGGAATGAGAGTCTTTTGGGTCTCTTTAAAAACAGAGACACCCCTTTGGGAGGCAGGCATATCTCTGTGAGTTTGAGGCCAGTCTGATCTACAAAGCAAGTTTAGGACAGCCAAGGCTATACAGAGAAACCCTGTCCTGGGGGAAAAAGAACCTTTTACAATAGTAATAAAATATACATAACATAAAATTTACCACTTTGATCGTTTTAAGTGACCAGTTCTGTCACATTAATTCATACAGGGTATGTAGCCATCACCATTATCTCTACCCATTAAATAACTCTCATTCCCCACCCACTCCATCACTCAGCCCCATTCTACCTCTCCTTCTTCTAGGGACTTCAAATCATATGCACTTAACAAAACAACACAAACGGGGATCTAAAGCCCTCTTCTGGTCTCTGAGGGTACTGCACACACATGCCCTCTTCTGGTCTCTGAGGGTACTGCACACACATGCAGTACACGCAAGCAAAACACCCATACATACAAAATAAAAATAAAGTCCAAAAAATTATTTAGATCACAAATATAGGAGTAAAATGGCCATGCAATAAACTGCAAAAGCTGGAATTTCATGTTCAATTTTGGATATATACTTTATAACCAAGATAAGGAGAAGGTAGGGAGAAGAGGGAATCAGGAGGATGGGATAAAAAGATAAGGAATATGTCAATCATTGCCAGACTTTCCTCAGACCCTTGCCACCCCTACCCACCTCTAAACCACGATTAACCCACTTTTCTGTTCCTATAGACAAATTTGGATTTTCTAGTTTAAAATCAATATTATCTAGAGGGTGTTCTTTCTTTTGAGGGTCTGTTTTATTTTCTTTCTTTGTTTCTTTTTTTTATTTCTCTCTTTCTTCCTTTTTCTTTGCTTGTGTTTTCGAGACAAAGTTTCTCTGTGTAACCCTGTAGACCAGGCTGGCCCCGAACTCAGAGATCCACCTGCCTCTGCATCCCAAGTGCTGGGATTAAAATTGTGTGCCACCAATGCCTGAAAGATTGTTTTTTGTCACTGCATATAATTTATCTGAGATTCATCCGTACTACTGTACATACTAATAATTGACTTTATCACCAAGTAGTATTCCATTATGTGGATACACCATTTTTTAAAACTCATTTATCTCCTGTTGGACAGTGTAGATGTTTCTGGCCTTTGTTGTTAGAATATTGAAATAGAACAGATTTGTGTGTGTGTGTGTGTGTGTGTGTGTGTGTGTGTGTTTTATTTTATGTGTATGAGTGTTTTGCCTGCATGTATGTCTGTGCACAATATGTATGCAGAGTCTGCTGAGGCCAAAACAGGGCATTTGATTTTATGGGATTGGAGTTACAGACAATTTTGAGCTATCATGTGGGTTCTGGGAACTGAACCCAGGTCTTCTGCAAGAGCAACGTACACTCTTAAGCACTGGGCTGACTCTCCAGCCCCTTGGGTCTGGGGGTGGTGTGGCGTGCATGCCACAGATAGAGGTCAGGGTACCACTCGGAGGGTTTGGCTCTCTTTCATGAAATGGATCTCAGGGGTGAAACTGAGATCAGCAGACTTGGTGGCAGGTGTCCTTTAACACCAAGCTGTCACACCAGCCCTGGTGTGACAAAGTCTAACGTAGCTCAGGCTGACCTCCAACATGCTCTGTAGCTAAGGGCGACATTGAGCTGATCCATCTGCTTCCGTGCTTCAGGTGCTGGGATTACAAGCATATGCCACCCTGCTAATTTAAAGTATTTTTATTACACACACATATACATACATACATTCATACATATTTATTTATTTATTGTGGTTTTCTGAGTCAGAGTTTCTCTGCATAGCCCTGGCTCTCCTGGGCTCACTTTGTAGACCAGGCTGGCCTTGAACTCACAGAGATCTGCCTGCCTCTGCCTCCCGAGCGCTGGGATTAAAGGTTTACACCACCACCACCACCTCCCTCCCGACTTTTTATTTTATACTTTTTATATGGTGCTTCTGTGTCCTGAGGCTTTGCTATTTTTGTGTGGTGCTTCTGTGTCCTGCGGCTTTGCTGAACACATTCAGTAGGTTTATGGTTTTTACTCCTTAGGGTTTTCTACACAAGTAACAGGACCATCTAGACATCAGGACAGTCCTCTTCCTTTACAGTGTTTGCGCCTTTGGTGTTCTGTATGCTTGCTTTATGTTTTATTTTTAGCGCACTGGCTAGACTGCACTGGACAAAGCTGAGCAGAGGTGTCAAGTGCAGACACCCATGTCCTGTTCTAGGTGTAGGGGAAAAGCATCTCTCACAGTCTAGCTGCTGTCACAGGTGGAGGAAAGCTCTTTCACAATCATTGCTGGCTGAGAGTTTTAATCAGGGAAGGTTGCTAGGTGATGGCAAAGACATTTTCTGCCTTCTCTGGAATGACACTGGGAATTCCCTTTTTCAGTTTGTGAACATGACTGAGTTTTAAGTTGCTAAAGTAATGTTTCCTTACTAGGATGCCATGGGAGCAGGACACTGGGCTTTGGGAGCCAGAAGCCTCCATCTGGGTCCGGTTCCTCATCAAGACCAGGCTTGGAGTGGGGAGGTAGCTCAGTCAATTAAGTGCTCCCTGTGCACTCATGAAGGCCTGCTTAGATCCTTCAAGACCACCACCACCACCAGCAGCAGCAGCAGCAGCAGCAGCAGCAGCAGCAGCAGCAGCAGCAGCCAGAGTGTGGGGCACATTCATACATGTGCCATCCCAGCACTAGGGTAGAGGAAATGAGGCTGAGACAGGCAGATCACTGGGGCTCATTGGCCAGCCTAGCCTGCTTGGAAAGCTCAAGACCAGTGAGAGACCTTGTCTCAAAATAAGAAGGGTGAGCCAGGTGCGGTGGTGCACGCCTTTAATCCCAGCACTTGGAAGGCAAAGGCCCGTGGATCTCTGTGAGTTCGAAGCCAGCCTGGTCTAGGTGGCTGGTGTTCCTGAAGTTTGGTCTTCTGACCTACACATGCACATGCCTGTGCATGCCTCTATGCTGCGCACATGAACACACACACACAGGTGCGCACACACACACACCCACACACACACACACACACAACCTTCTCACATACACATAAACATACACAGACACAGGAGGACACATGAACACAGACAGGCACAGGCGCACAGATGGACCAGGGGGGCCTGGGCACGGGGGGAGGGGACATTTCTTCTGCTCTGGTTTCGGTTTGTAGTAGGGTGGCTCAGCCTGGTCACTCCAAGGTGCTGTTCCCTTCGAGGCTGGCGTGAGCCCTGTTGCTCTCTCATAAAGAGAAACTCAAGGGCAACAGTCTCCTCAAAGAGAACATCTTAACCCCCTGGACGCCACCCCCACCCACATCAGGG